GATCGGCTGGCCGGTCCGAGTCAAATACATTTTGAAAAAAAGACAAGAAAACGGTCAATTTTTGGGCAATTGACAAAAGCTCTTTTACGAATGCCATTCTCATGGGCTATGCATTTCTATCGGATCATTTCGTTAAGAGGTTACGTTAAGAGGTTTGCCGCAAATATAGCACCATAAGAAGACATATCTCTTTTGGGGAAGTGTGAATCTCAGGACCCTCCGGTTCTTTTCAGAACCACGTCACTTTAACTCAAAAAGATATCCTTGCATGGTGCTTCCGCAAACTTCTTTACCTAAGTCATGATGTATTAATTTTACCAAATTTAAGGCAGGCTAGAGCTGTCTTAATGCCAATTGTATGACTGCAAGACGAAAGGCAGAAAAGCAAAGCTACACGGCAAGACGCACTTTATATAGAGAAATGAACCAAATAACTTGCCCCACCCCAACAGCGGAACTCTAAATATGCAATAGTTATATAACTCCTACAAACGCAACGCCACAACTATACAAAGCAGCGCTGCATTCCTACAGAGTTAGGCATTGTGATACATGGCGAGAGAGGGCGCACTTCAACTAATTATAAAGGCGCGTTATCCGTTAAAACATGTATTTCGCAAAGTTAACCTGCTCCTTGAGCAGTTGCTCGACAGTGACACAAGTCCTCAGGAATTATGAGATCACAGATAAATTTTTGACCATGACTATTTTTGTTAGTTTTTCTACACATATTTGCGTAGAGGCAGAGTCGCATTTGATCCATATAGCATCTTTTTCGTTTGAATTTGTGTTTTCGTTTTTGTTGTGGGACAATAAATACACCGTGAGTGTACGCTGCTGGTACAGTGCGCGAGGCAGTCGCGGAAGGTTAATCCTAAACCGGAGGATTGTAAGAGTCACTGAGCTGGGCCGCTTCGCAACTTAAGGCAAGTCTTCAAGGAATTGTTCACAATATGTTTTTTTTGTCTGGGTTTGGGTGCATTGCGTTACTTAGTTTGCAACGTCACTGAATTGCCAAAGACTGGCGCAGCATTCCTTCGCAGTGTCTGTTGTCCACTTTTGGGGCCCCGCATGAGTCGTCAAAGTAAAACCAAAATTTCTATCAGCAGAAAATGAGAAATTTGGGTTGTTTGCTTATGATGGCCCATATAGCCCACAAGGTCTCCCCATCCGTACGCTTTTACTGTCCCAACCGTGACCCTTCCAAGCACCTGAGGTCCGCCCCCTCCTGTGAGGCCTTTTAGCACACGTACAGTACATGTTAATACAGTACATTAATCTGGTCGATTCTTATGCGTGTACCCGTAGTCTCTGTCAATGAATCCATGGTCAAATATCTTTATGTTCAATGTACAGGCCTACATCATTTTTTTCGATGCAGTCCTTCAAGTTATCTACAGCTGCCGCGCCGTTATCCAAGCCGTCTGGTTGCCTAACATTAGATCACGTGACAGGCGTCAAGGCACCTGCCCGACGCTGGGCTAGCAGCGCTGCACAGCGTGCCGGTCGACTGGAGCTGGACACCAGATCATCGGTACGCGGTGGGCAAAGGAGAAGTGTGCGCCTGTTCTTCCTGACAGTCATCTTATCTACCGAGAAAATGCCTAGCTTTAACGCCGTTCTTTTGAACCTTTTACTGCCTGTCATTTTGGCAGTCATTTTCTTTCGATCCTCGGCGCTGACAACCCTCAGAGATGGCGTAAAACCGTTGTTCACTCACAATAGACTGGAGTCCAATGACACGGTAGTGGCAGGCCCCGCCGGCCAGCTTGCCGAGGCAATCGATGCGTTGCTCAGCCCACACTTCCTGTTGTCCCTGGTGGTGAGCGTGATCTCAGTCTATGTTTTCGTGTATCTCTACCAGTTATTTTTCGTCCCCCTCAACTGGACGAGAACTGAGGGGGATGTTGGTTACATTTTGGACGATCGAGGGGGAAAGAGCAAGATGGATGTTGCGAATGAGATCCGGCGTCGTCGACGGATGGGGGATATTCCACCTGTCTACCCGAATGGATGGTTTGCGTTGTTCCGGTCATTTCAGGTTCAGAAAGAACCCCGTTCTATATGTGCGCTTGGTAAGCGGTAAATGTTTTTGGTTTCAGTGCAGAAAGGGGTTTTTATCCAGGCATCATAATTTTCCAGGTTTTACACATTAGACATGTTAAAAAGGGGTGCCCGTTATTCTTTATTTTTGGTAGGCATAGGCCTAAAAAGTCTGGGGTTATTTTTCTAACTAGGGCCTAGTGTGTAAAGTTACATGTGTATTTGTTTCATATGCATCGATTGTACCTTTTTTTAAATAGGCCTACAGACAGCAGTGAACAAAAGGCCTAGTTAAATTTGATTTGTGCAGATCCGTGTCGTGATCAGACAGTGAGACGTTGATCCACTGACACCAGAACCAGCCTTATGGATGGAAAAAACTTGCGTTAGGATCACAGATCCAGATCCTTCTGAAACAATCGGGCCCTTATTATACCATATGATTATGAACCTGACTTGAGCACCCATATAGCAAAGTGTTGGGGCACACTGCTACATGTATCAGTACTGATGGTGTGAGTTGCAATCTGCAGGTCATTATGACTATTTCCCTGCCCTCCAAAATTGCAATTTTCAGTCCTTTTTTTTTCAAATCAAGCTGTACTTAAAATTTCAGGCATAGTTTACTTACCAGGAAAGAAGAAAGAAGGGATAGAAAAAGAGAAATAAAAAAAAAAGATTATTAAGTAGTTTGTCAGTTTGCTGCTGATGAGTGCTTTGTCTCCCTCCCCCCCCCCCCGGTGAACTTTACCCATCCCCCTCCTGGCAGTGCAATGTACCGTACTCATGCTTCCAAGTTTAGACTGTTTTCAAGATGTATTTTTGCGTTGGGAAGATGTTAATTATATATAACGGTTTTCCCGTACCCAACGTATATTAATAAGCACTGTATGCTCAGTGCTT